AAGAGTTGGCCTCCACTTGCTTCCCCCTCTCCCTCTCTCAATATATATATATATATATAAGGATACAAATATTAGGTGCATATAACAAAAGACAGTTCCAATTTTAGTTATAAAAAATTTCAGAAAATAAATCAGATTTGCAATTTTTATGTGAATTTATGTAGTTGTCTCCTTTATTATTCATAAACAATAGCCATAATATATATACACACATATATATCAAGATATATAATTATTAACATTTGATTCTATATATAATACAAAACAACATCGCATTTATATGCGTGTATATATACAAAGACGATCCAGTAGGGTCCACTAATGAACAAATGCATCACTAAGGTGGTGAAAACTCCTCATTCCTTTGATTAGTTTTAAAGGGCCCCTAAAATTTGTGTTAAATCTTTTTAATTAGTTTTTGACATTATCTTTTGCATGTCATGATCGATATTTGCCTGTCGGGGACCAAGTGGGTCCATTATTTTTAGTGTTGCTTTTAAGTATATAATAAGTCCGTCCCATTTCGCATTACATTCACGACCATATTTTAAAACCATATTATATATGTATTATGAGGAAAAAGTAACTCATATTGGAATATATTAATATAATAAATAAAAATATCCAATCCATCCATGCGGGGACACATTCCAATTACTGTCTTTTCTTATCTGCTCATTCATGGTTATGTTTTCCCACCGTGCATTCAAGTTCTCAAAACAACCATACCTATATAATATTTATTATAAACTTATTTAAAATTCAAATTGAATAATATCATATAATACTAAAATTAAATCCGATTAGGTATTTTTTTTCAAAGATAAAACTAATAAATTCAAATCAAATAAAAATTATTTTTTTGAAAAAAAAAATGAAACTCAATTAGAAAGCATGTGAAAAGTAAATAAGCATAATTTTTGTAAATTTAAAAAAAAATTAAAAATCTAACTTTAATCCGATCAAAACCTAATATGTGCACCCACGCTTTCCATAACATCTGGCTCATGAAAAATTGCCAGTTTAAATCTTTTACTACGTATCCAAATGATTGGAAGAATGAAAAATATGGTTATTATCCTAATCACGCAAATAATTAAAATATGCATCAAATTTAAAATGTGACAGGTAAATATTCTCCCCACAAAAAAAAAAAAAAGAATTACAAGGAAGAAGGCAACAAAGAATGACATTTGGGACATGAGAGAATCTAATCATGAAAGGATGTTTTTACAACATGAGGTCTCAAGGAACATTCCGAGATTATGATTTAGGAAACAAAAAGAGACACCCCTTTTTCTTTTATTTATCCTTCCAATAACATTATAAATTCTCTTTAATTCGTTTTTAAATCAAATGTGTATTTCTTTTTTTTTAAATTTTTTTTTAAAGATAGGCCCTTTTCAAAAGACATCAAAATTGATGCACATGTCAAGCAGAAACGCATTTTTTTTACCCTTTAGATTCAAACCTAATGTTTACATTATATGCTCCAATCATCCAATGAAAACTGCTTTTATTCTTATATTCTTATATTCTCTCCTTTTTCGGTTTTTGCTTTTTAAAAATTGACATTAGAGGAGATTATATTTATGTTCATTTATTTTTTTTTCTATTTTTTGGTTATAAAATTCATACACATTCAATTTTTATTAATTTTCAATTCGTTTGTTTATATTTTATTATAAAAAATTATTTTTAAGAAATCATTTCCATTTAGTTTTTTATTTTTTTTATATTTTAGAAATATATATA